GATTTTGCTCTCACAATAAGACAAAATGGCCACGGCGGGTATTGGGTTAAAAGATATCAACCAAAAAAGTCGTTGGGGTCCACATGGATGATGAGGGTTAATTCATACTGATGTTCTTTTAGTTTTCAGAAGTGTATGTACCATTCAATTAAATATAAACTTTTAGCATATAAGATAACATGTATTTCACGACATTATACATAAATACGTTACCAGCTTCTAAAACATAGATGAACATCATATTTTCAAGCATACTGTTGTTAATATTAACTTATAATTAAATCATATAGAACTAAAAATCAACTGTAATTCCAATACTATTTATTGAGGATCAACTAGTATAAGAGATTTAGTCTTCAATTAATATATTAAGCTAAAGTTTAGGGTCTAAAATGTCACTAACAATAAGGGTACTCAACTACAGAAACAATGCATTATAAGTATTAAAAGTAAAAATTTAAGAACAGTACATTAAGTTAGCTTTATGCATTACAAGGGCAACTTTTAGTTCTGATCAATGTTTGTAGTTTGTTTTGATCAGACATTAGTATAAATCCAAAATAATCCTCATAATAAAAATATATTAAACATTCTAGCAACGCCATTAATGAAAATAATATTAGAGAAAGAGAGAGAGAGAAAAAAAAGAGAGTATAAATTACTTACAAAACACAAATGCTGGTGGGTTTTTCATGTCCCACCTCAGATTTTATGTTTCTTGAAAAACTTGGCTTCAATAAACAAAGAATTTAATATATCACTCCTAGCAATATCATGTGAGCAATCAGACCTTATTAAATATCTTGGACAGTGTAACTTTACAGTAACGTGACAACTAAGACAAATTACTTTGATACATGTTACTGTTTAAATTTAGTTAAATAGCAAGACAATACAGATAGTAAGCAAAAAAATTAATGTTTATGAAGATATTAAATAATAATAGATTAAGTGACTAACAGAATTATATAATGAATAGTAAAATTAATGACACACACTAATAACAATATCACCAGGTTAAATATAATACAAAAAAAAACTATATACTAATCATACTATGAGATATGTCTAATACAAATAATCTAACTAATTTTGTCACTTTACACTACAGTGGTCCAAGCAGGAAGGGGGGGGGGAGTAGTAAAGTTAAATTCTAGGTACAAAATGTTCACCAAGTTCAAAATAATAATAAGACTTAAAAAAAGTAACAATAATTACTTTAAATATGGCAAAGTTATTAACATAATTAAAGTAACTTAAGTAATGACAATGTTATAATATAAAGGGATTATTACACAGTTTGCACCCCCCTATAGTTAGAGCCTAAAACTACTGGTGGTTGTCATACTACAGTAGTACATTATTACTTTAAACATTTTGTTCAGAAATTAAAGTGTAAATGTACAAGTTTCAGAAAGTTCATGATGTTCTGTGAAGCTATTAATCTCATAATTGGTAACAAAAGGCTGTTGAAAGTTTTGTACAATAGAATAAATTTGATGCTCAAATTGCAGGAAATTTGTGAAAATTTAAAGTAAGTTTAAATTCTGTCCATAAACTGTGAAGAGCAAACAATGTACTATAACATATTTGGAATATTTGTACTTGAAAAGGAAAACCTCATAACATCAAAATTAAGTGTTCATTATATTGAAAACTTTGGATGTTTTGTTAATGATGATGCTATCTAATTCTTGGTATTATGCTGTGTTTGTAGTAAAAGAGCTTTCTTCCAGAGTTAGTTCTGGTAAATAAATGTGTTTAGCACTGTATATAAAAAAAATAATTGAAAATTAGGTAAAAGAAGAGTGTTAAAACAATCTCTAAGCAAGACTAAACTGTAAAGTTTTAACATAGCACTTCCTAATAAGATTTATGTATGAAAATTCAAATTACAATAAATACAGAACTACAACTTGTGGATTGAAGTTAACTTCCATAGGCATTCTCTGTATCTTTGAAACATATGTTGTCCAAACAGAACAAGTGTATTGTCAGGTGAAATATACACATCTTGTAAGAATTTCCATTGTGAGAATGATAATTTCTATGAATAATATTATCATACAAACATATGTTTATTAACACAAGGAATTCATTTTATTAGAATTTTTAAAAGATCTTGAAACCGCTGGTGAGATTTAATTTTATCAATAGGAATTATGGTGTAAAGATTACTAAAATCAAAAGTTTAATGTTTAACCCACAAAGTCTTTAAATTTCTTCTTTACACTCAATGTTATTACTGACTACAAAAAACAGATTAACCACTTTTTTCTATAATGTATTTACAATCATTACCTATTAGAATTGACAAATCCTCACTTGTAGGCTTTTTACCTCCAGCAATAAACCTGTATTTATATGGTGTTTTATATAGTTTGAGAATTCAAAACAATTTAGGTGTTACGTTATACAACTTTACAGAATGAACACTAGTCTGATAAAAAAGTAATGATACTTGTTTTAGTAGTTTTACCTTACTTATACATCTCTTTTTTTACCCAAAAGTTTTAGTGTTTTTAAATCAAACCCTAGTTGTAAGTATATTTGTTGTACAAATGAAAACATTGTTGTTAACAGCTGAGGTGATGATGAATCTAATGTGTAATGAATCTAAATTCCTTTTCATTCTAGACATTTTCACTATTGTTAATAGTGAATATCTAAGCATGCTAAGTAGTCACGGATTACCTAAAATCTCTTTACATATTCTTTAAACAGGATCATTTTCTTTAAAAACTTATGTGAAATTTTATTGAGTGATTAACTAATTGTTTTGTGATTAAATTGAGAACATTCCCAAAATTTAGATCTTTTTCTCATTAACTCTTTAAACCTGTAAGTTTTTGCTCATTCTGCTGGAATGATTTTCATGATTTCATAATAATTATCCCCAACCTTATAAAACTTCAGTTTTCTTAATTTTGTGGATGATAACATCGTTTGGATTAGTTTTCATCTAAAGTGACATAAAAGTTATCAGATGCTGTCACCATCCAATCTAATGAATGGGGATTTTTGGCCGGATGCTGGTAACGTCCGCTCTGGTGTAAGGAGTTAAGAATTGCAAATCATTACAGTCAAGTGGGTTATAAACAAATATAGGGGGTGAACCCCAAATATAAGGGCATATAGGGAAATTTTTAACCTTTATACAGGGAAAATGTAGGAAATATTTGGTTTTCATAAAATAAAGTTAAGACACCTTACCTTATTATTGTTACAAAGCATATTAACTTAAAAAGCCTCATGTTGTATTTATTCATGAGTTTTATTAGGAAACATATTTTTAACAGGAACTTCTCAGCTGTTGAGAAATGATTACATGTAATATGTAGAATTTTTTTCAGAAAAGATCTGGGAAATTTTTAACAATTTAACTGAAACACCTTATATGTTTAATTCCAACAACTTCTCATAAGAATACCAAACAAAGGACTATTCTTAAATCTAACATAGACAAGAAATAACTCATGCTTAACAGCAGACCACCCACTGCATAGAAACTTAACAATTTTGCCAACAATATATTGCATTCAGTTTCCTTTACTTAAAAACAAATGCAATACAATTTTCCTTATTGAAATAAGACACAGAAGGACAAAATATGGGTGTAAGTGGCCCACTAAAGAATCACATTGTATATAAGCTAAAATCCAATGCATTAGGTTCACCGCACATTTTTTTATATTTATTAATCACTAGTTTTAGGAAATTACCATTGAATTCTTTCAATGGTCATCTGCTAGTACACAACATATTCTTCAGTTAGTCTACATGTTCCTTTTAAAAAAAATAGGCTTTTACAACACCAACAAGTATATTCTGAAGCATCTTGGCTGGTTACTGATATAGCAACAAAGTTAGATTGGCATAATGCCTTTGAAATAATCATTGGAAACATTATTCTGCAAGTCAAGACAATGTCTGTAAACAGTAATTGTTCTTTATTTGTTTCAAAGCATGAATTAGATAACCTTATGCTCAAATATAGGGGTAATTTAAGAATACAAGGGTATTTAAAAAAGAGAAGAACACATAAGAGAGGCCGTAAAAATACAGAGGTCATTAGTTATGACGTCATGGTTACCCGTGAGTACATGATCAACAGAAGAGTAGATATAAGGATATTAATTACATTCAGAATAAGAGGATAAAATATTGTGTAACTGCTAATTAGTTACCTAAAAGATTTTTAATATTCTACTGCCAATGGCTCTCTTACAATAAATGAAACTATAATACAAACATTATTCGTATGTCAATTAGCAGTTATTTCAGGATTTACTGATGAAACTGCAAGTATTCAGGTAGTCTACATTACTCATCAAACTTAATGACACCTGTATTTATGTTCAACTGAATAAAGGTAAGTTTGCTGATAAGTTTTAGGAATAGAAATCTTGTGTTTATCCTGGTAGTTGTTACTTACTTCAACTTGTGAATGCAAAAAAATTAAAATTCTATGTTTTTATGTTAGTTCATCATATTTTATAGTACTTTGTGGTGAGAAGTGATAGCTTCTGTATTTTTTGGATGCTCTGAAAAAGTTGCTATTTCTATGTGCTTACCTTGAGTGGACTTGCCCAGTATTTGGTTTTTGGGTAACAATCCTCTTTCCTTTTGGCTGATACTAAGGTGTGTTAATTCTTGATATTTGGCAATGTTTTCTTTGAATTCATTGGCTTCTTTGTTTTGGTCAGCATGAAATTTTGCCAGCTTCTGATCATCAGGAAGAAGATTTAATTGTTTCTGATCATCAATATTAACATCTTTAATTGTTTCATTATATGTTTTCTGATTACTAAAAGTTTGTTGACAATCAAGAACTCGAGCAATAACCACACAGCTGGTAGTTGTGGCTTCTGAGGTGCATGAGACACCACTAGTCACTTGACAAATATCGGTTATCCTAACATCAGGAGAGGAAGAATGACAGACATGGATCCCATTCTTTTTTTGATCTGTTAAGCTGTGGTTGACCTCTGTCTTGGATATCATATCTTGATTTTGTACATAATCTCTGTGGTTAGCTGAATTTATTTCTGTTTTCTCCATCTTGCTTTCAAAGTTATTTTCCTCAAAATAACTTCCTATAAAATTTTGCTGGTGTTGAAATAACAGTGAATGACACAAAGAGGACCCTTTCATCATAGTACTGTCTTTTGAGTCTTCTATCTTAAAAATACTGCTGTTCAGCAACGGACTAATCTCACATGAGACAGCAACTCCAGGTTCAGCCTTAGCAATCTCTTGAATACTGCTGTCTGAGTTCAGTATTGGAGTTATCTCTTGTGTAACACGAGATTTTGATTCAATCTTAGTAATTTGTTGAACACTGCTGTTCAATTTCAATACAGGGCTTATCTCTTGTGCAACACCAGATAATGATTCAATCTTGCTAATTTGTTGAATAGTGCTGTCAAAGTTGGATAAAGGACCTATCTTTTGTGAAACACCAGTTATGGATTCCACCTTTGAAGACTTTTGTTTTAGAAGTTTTTTATTATTAAGAATTCTCTGTAAAGAAGAGAGGCCCACCTTTGCTTTCACCTGTTTGCTTTGATCGAAAGGTCTGTGTAAATATGTCTTTTTAAGCATTGCATTCTGTTTCTTTTTTACACCATCTGAAATCAGCTGGATGCTATTCATATCTTCATAAGAGGTCTTAGTTTCATTTAAATCTTTTGTGGGAAGACCTGTAGAAACATGGCCTAAGGATGTATCTTTAATTTCTTTCCTATCATTATCATAGACTTTTCTTGTTACAGGCAAATCTTGATTAGATTTTGAGGGAAGTCCTGTAGAAATCTGACCAGATGTGGTTTCTTTAAATCCATTACTGGCATCTTTACAGAATTTTTTTGCCACCTTAATATCTTGATCAGATTTTGTGAAGACATTAATAGAAACCTGCCCTGAACAAGTAGTTTCTTCAATTCCATTACCATCATTGTCATAGAATTTTTTTGTCAAATTTAAATCTTGGCCACATTTTGTGTGAAGATGAGTAGAAATCTGCCCTAAACAAGTGGTTTCTTCAATTCCATTGTCATCAACTTCATAAAGTCTTTTTGTCAAATTTATGTCTTGTTTACATTTTGTGGGTACACCTAAAGAAATCTGCCCTAAACAAGTGGTTTCTTCAATTCCATTACCATCACCTTCATTGAATCTTTTTGTCACATTTACATCTTGTTCACATTCTGTGGGTATACTTGAAGAAATCTGCCCTAAATAAGAGGTTTCTTCAATTCCATTACCATCACCTTCATCGAATCTTTTTGTCACATCTACATCTTGTTCACATTCTGTGGTTATACCCAAAGAAATGTGCCCCAAACTAGTGGTTTCTTCAATTCCAGTACTGTCACCTTCATACAATTTTTTTGTCAAATTTATGTCTTGATCATATTTTGTTGGCATACCTAAAGAAATCTGCCCTAAAGAAGTGGTTTCTTCAATTCCATTACCATCATCGTCATAAAATCTTTTTGTGACATTTATGTCTTGATCACATTTTGTGGGTACACCTAAAGAAATTTGCCCTAAGCAAGTGGTTTCTTCAATTCCATTACCATCATCTTCATAAAATCTTTTTGTGACATTTATGTCTTGATCACATCTTGTGGGCAAAATCTGCCCTAAACAAGTGGTTTCTACAATTGCATTACCATCACCTTCATAGAATCTTCTTGTTACATTTATGTCTTGATCACATCTTGTGTGCAAAATCTGCCCTAAACAAGTGGTTTCTTCAATTCCATTACCATCACCTTCATAGAATCTTCTTGTCAAATTTACGTCTTGATCATATTTTGTTGACATACCTGAAGAAATCTGCCATAAACAAGTGGTTCCTTCAATTCCATTGTCATCTTCTTCATAAAATCTTTTTGTCAAATTTAAGTCTTGTTCACATTCTGTGAGCATACCTGCAGAAATCTGGCCTAAACATGATGTTTCTTCAAACCCATTTTTGCCACCTTCATATAATCTTTCTTTCATCATCATATCTTGATCACATTTTGTAGGCATACCTGAAGAAATCTGTCCTAAACAAGTGGTTTCTTCAATTCCATTGTCATCATCTTCATCAAATCTTTTTGTCACATTTACATCTTGATCACATCTTATGAGCAAAATTTGTCCTAAACAAGTGGTTTCTTCAATTCCATTACCCTCAAGTTCATTGATTTTTTTGTGATATTTATGTCCTGATCACATCTTGTGGGCAAAATCTGCCCTAAACAAGTGGTTTCTTCAATTCCATTACCATCACCTTCATAGAATCTTCTTGTCAAATTTATGTCTTGATTATATTTTGTAGGCATACCTGAAGAAATCTGTCCTAAACAAGTGGTTTCTTCAATTCCATTGTCATCATCTTCATCAAATCTTTTTGTCACATTTACATCTTGATCACATCTTATGAGCAAAATTTGTCCTAAACAAGTGGTTTCTTCAATTCCATTACCATCACCTTCATAGAATCTTCTTGTCAAATTTATGTCTTGATTATATTTTGTTGGCATACCTGAAGAAATCTGTCCTAAACATGTGGTTTCTTCAATTCCATTGTCATCATCTTCATAGAATCTTTTTGTCACATTTAAGTCTTGTTCACATTCTGTGAGCATACCTGCAGAAATCTGGTCTAAACATGTTGTTTCTTGAAATCCATTTTTGACATCTTCATATAATCTTGTTTTCATAGTCATATCTTGATCACCTGAAGAAATCTGCCCTAAACAAGTGGTTTCTTCAATTTCACTACCATCATCTTCATCGAATCTTTTTGTCACATTTATATCTTGATCACATTTTGTGAGTATACCTGAAGAAATCTGTCCTAAACAAGTGGTTTCTTCAATCCCATTGTCATCATCATAGTCACAAAATCTTTTTGTCACATTTACATCTTGTTCACATTCTGTGGGTATAGCCGAAGAAATCTGCCCTAAACAAATGGTTTCTTCAATTCCATTACCATCACCTTCATAAAATCTTTTTGTCAAATTTATGTCTTGATTGCATTTTGTAAAATGAATGCCTTGAGATGAATCTTTTAATATAGTTAAGTGGGAGTCTTTTGTAATATTAAAATCTGTTTGAATTACTGGAAATGACAACATTTCAGAATTAGTTTTTTGTCCGATTGAGGTTGCCAACATAGGAATCGAAAGCTTTCCCTCACAGAGTTTTATTTCAGCATTCTCTGTAAGTATGACATTAGGTTGAGCACTTTGTCCTGGAATTTTTCCCATGTCTAATTTAGAAATGAAATCTGGTGAACTATCTGAATGTGTTAAGCTTGTAGTGACATTTTCTTTCATTGTTGAATCTGTGAACATGGCAAGCAAACGATTTCCATCATAAAGTTTTCTCCCTTTCTCTTCTGCAAGAAATTCTATCTGCTCTAAATCTGTTTTAATTGCTTGATATGATGATACATTAGAGTTAGTTTCTGTTGGTGATGAACTAGAAAACAGAGCAAGTAAACGATTTCCATCATACAGTTTTCTTCCTTTCTCTTCTGTAGGAAATTCTACCTGCTCTAAATCTGTTTTACTTGTTTGATATGATGATACATTAGAGTTAGTTTCTGTTGATGATGAACTAGAAAACAGAGCAAGCAATCGCTTTCCATCATACAGTTTTTTTTCTGAATTCTCTGTTAGAAATACTGTAGGTTGAGAGGTTTGTTTCTGTATATTTCTTTTATATGCTTCAGGACTGAAATCTGTTGCAGTATTTGAGCATGACAAACTTGTATGACAATTTTCTTCAATTGTTGAGCCTGTTAACATGGAAAGCAAACGTCTTCCATTAAACATATTTCTTTTTTTTTCTTCTGAGGCAAATTCTGCTGGCTCTAAACCTTCTTGAGGTTCAAAAGCTTTATCTTCAACACTGTCATATTGGAAAGATGTATGTTTATTAACAGATGTGTTTAGAATCATCTTGAACTCTGAAGAGATATTAGGGTTGCAGGGTAATGAATGCTGTAATAAGTTAATTGAAGTAGCCTCCATGTGATCCTGGTGAAGGGGTATCTTTTGGTACACAAAAGTTTCTAGATGACATTCTTCTCTTTCATGGTATTTCTCCTCCCTGGAGATAAATCTGTGTTAAACTGGTAGTTATGTTCATATTATATGTTATACATCAACAACCCTTTTTAATTTTATAGACAGATGCTTTAACAACTAATATTCTTTCATAAAATGCTCAAGTTTATGGATAGGCTAACCTGACTGTCATTATCAACATGTTACTTATTTGTGGTGATTATGACTGATTATTCATTATAACTATCTTACGTATTTCAAGAGTAACTTTTACAATAATTTTCCAAATTAAATTGCCTTTGCTACCGATATACAAATCTGATTACGATATTTCAAATACATACCTACAAAAAACATATATAGAAGAATGAGTATTTCTATGGCCAGTTTAATATTTGTTTAAAGTATAACTTAATGCAACTTGAGTAACCTACCACAGTAACCAGTATTAATAAATGAGCCTTATGTTACAAATATTTGTCATACAAGCTGGTTTATAGCCTCAGCAAATAAATAATCACATAGTATTCAGATAACCATATAAATGCATTAAATATGTTAAAACACTGACAAATCTTTACTTTAGTTTTTAAGCAGAGATAAATTTACATAACTCTATAGTCTGCACATACCATTCAGCAGATGATGAGATTTTCTGATGTGATGAAGATGTACAATTGCTACTGCTTGACCCATTACTGGCTGTAGAAAAATAATCACAATAACTAATTTTTTTTCAAATAATAATAACAAACTTTATTTTAAACATAATTTAGGTACTACACAAAGAAATTTATTTAACTAATATATCTTTTATTGAAATGCAAGTTAGTGAACATGATTTTAGCATCTTTTCATATCATTCACTGAGTAAACTGTTTATGCAAGTTTAATTGTAGAAGACTAGAACAAATACTCCAAAACATTAAAAAATATAAATTGTTCTTCAATTAAATGAATAACGGAGTTGAAATAAATACATATTTTTGGAGCGTCATTTATTCACTGAATATAAATAATGAATCAGTTTCATTTACAGTATATCATATATCACAACTTGTGAAACAAGGTACCTTCAAATTTAAATGGGTCAAATTTAGTCTGACTGAGTCATATCTGAAAGAATCACATTTTGCAAAATGGAGACATTCATTATGGCACAGCTCTTATCAGTCAATTCATGATGTTAAAGAGAATTCTGCCCCATTCCTTCATCAGTGCATGTAGGATGGTAGATTAAGGCATTAATTAGTGCAATGTCCAAGGAGATTTTAGAAGCATTCTATCCTGGCAATGAAACACACAAGACATTATTTCTACATCAAGACAGCAAGGTTTGTTTGTACAACAGATGGTCCTACAACTGTATAAATACAGTTAAACATTAAGGCCACCTCTTATAAGCCCAATAAGACCTGTCCAACTATTCAAACTGATGAATTTTCTCACCATAAAAGAACTGTCACAAAAACAGTTGTATTCCATGTTATAGTGAGCATATTATTCATTTCTAGTTTTCCAGTTATATGTCTGTGACAAATATGGGTGCCTGATGGTACTGTTGTCAACTTGCATGATTTCAAAGAAAATACCAAATGAGATGAGTTGTGCAATCAATACATGAACTAAAGCAGATTTCCTTCTTGAGTCTTAAGACAGAACCATAAAGTGTGTTTTTTATGTATCGGTCACTAAATGATCACTCCAGTTTGTGTTCTAAATACATAGACAATTAACTGGTGTTCCATTCCTAACAGCCATGTGTGCAGATAATGTCAATTACTTGGTGTAATTGGCTTTCTACAACCTTTTTCCATGCTATTCACTGTACACACCACTTGTCTAATAGAGGTGGGGGTCCACAACCTCCCCACTATGACCTTGGATACACTAAAATGACAGTCTGAACTTCATTAAAAACCTCATTTGCCATCACCTTGTGACAATGTCACATATATATAATTTATCACAAAACAACAAATGATCAAACATAAGGTTGAAATGAGGGTACTGTTTTTCCAAGTCTTTGCATGTGCAAAGTATTTACTAACAGAATCAACAGATAAAACCCAGTTCCAGATTCTTAATAGATTTACCATACATAAAATAACACAATCAAATACATATACTATAATAAACATTATATATGTATATAACAATTGGCAGAAATTTAAAACAATGTATTAAATTTAATATGGAGTAAAATCAAAAAAAATCACATAAATCATTATTCTTTTTATATAGTCTTAAGAATGGACTGTAATAACAATATTCACTTCTAACACAAAGAATACGAAACAATATCATATTTTAACAGCTGAGGCATGAATAAAAATCAAACACTTTTTGGGTAGTCAATTAAACCATTATAGATTTTACACAAAACAATAAGGACTTAAAATATCTTGCCCAACACTATGAGGAACAATCCAAATGTAACAATATATTTTGTGACATAATACAACTAAGAGAAAAAATTATATATTAAAAAGTTTCTATTGAGAACATTCCACTTTATCAGTGTACTTTAACTGATATGGATTCTGAATAAAGGCATCACATTCAAGATTTGACCTAATAATTGACCTATACAATAAGTAAGTAACATACAGACCAGTATAATCTTTATTATTATGTACTATGAAACCTAAATTACTTTTATTCTTATTTACTATTACTTCAATATGATTAATAAATGATAAATGCTCATCAAAATAAATATCAAAATCATTAGTTACAGGAGGACATTCTGAAATTTGATTATTACACATATAAAAGATATATTATGACTTTCTAAATATTAAAATACAACTAATAATACACACATCAAACAAAAAGTCTATTTAAATCAGGGTGAAAGGCTGAAAAAAGTATTGTTATAATTTCCACAGCACAGTATTACTATAATTTCTAATTTTTGTTTTTAACCCTTTGATATTTTGGTACATCACTTGAAAACAATTCATACATGCTGATATTTAATTACTTTGAAGAACCAAATCATCCTTAGATTTAATATGAATTATTATATATGTCTTTAGCAACAAATAGTCATTAATTGTCAACAAATAATTGCATAGAACTACATTTGGTGGAGTCAAAATGGGATGATTTGTAGTTTCAGAAAATAATGTCTACAATATATCTCCAGCCTTGTTTCCTTACTTTTTTTACGAACCCTATTTGCATGTTTTTAAATTCCTAATTTTTTTAGTTACCTTGTTTTTATAGCAATCCCTAAGGCTTTGCCAACATTTACTACAATTTGAATTGAGTTTTCAATATCTGGTTTACAAATACTTTGAATGTCAGCATTATTTCTATGGCTTTACTTTTAAAGTTCACCAAATTGTTCACCACGTTCTTTTTTTTTAATTAATATTTTCAACTTATCAATAATCTTTAGATATTCATAAAGCTTAGCAAATTGATCATTGAATTGTTTAATATTTTTTGTCAGTGTTTTTATGAGTTACATTATCACATTTCATCTTCTTTTGGTCAGCTTTTATTTCAAGCAATAATCTCATAAAATCAGCATTACCTGATTTACTCAATACATCGTTGTCTATGTCATTCCTAAGTCACTAACACTTTTTAAATTAGATCTAACAGTAGTTTTAATACAAATCAAACATTTCCAATTAGAAATCCCAATTTAATTAAATTCATTAGGAAACATATTATGCATGAAATAATAATTCACATTTTTACACATCTCAGATTTAGCTTGCCAGAAACTGGTCTACACACTAGATAACATCTTAGAAAAAAACAAGAGGGGCATACATTATCACTGCAGGATATATTCACAAAATCAAAGACTTTTCAACTTAATAAACTAAATTTAGATGCAATTTTTCAGGTTTTAGTTTTTTGATATAGTGTATAACTAAATACAAAATAGTATTATACACAATCATAGCTTACATAAAAACACAGGTTATAGTTGGTATGTATCAAGTAAAAACTCTTATTAAAACTCAAATACATATTATGTAATCTAATTCAATACATTATCACATTATATATTTTGTAATACTTTTATGTTACTCTTCAATCTTAAGTTTCAGGTTGTTAGTTTATAACACTGAAAGTTTGGTGATTTGGCTGTAAGATCTTACAGATTAATAGAACAGTTTAAATATTTACCTGGTGGTAACTGGAAAACAAAATCTGTTGAAACTCCAGGATTCCTAAAGAAATGTTTACAATAATTTATTTTTCTTATCACAAACTAAAACTCCAGTGACATCATATAATAAGAGACATTATATATTTTATACCATTATACAAATTCAGTAAATAAATTAACATTGTATTATAAAATTTAATTTTAGAAAGTCATAATAATGTGTAATTTTATTAAAGCTACAGTGAGATAAAATTCCCAATAAATTGATGATATACTGTAATTGTTACATTTATAAGTTGCTTAAATATTCTGCACATTATTTTAAGTAAAATAAAATACATTCTAAAAGAGATTTCAGTTAATTCCATATTTGATATAGAACATTTTTTATACAGCAATCCAGTACGTATAACAAATTTCTACTAAATATCTGCATACATAATAGTAAAATTCCAAATCTCTAATTGAAATTCTTCTACACTATAGTAAAATCACAAATTATTTTTATCTACTGAATATCATTCTGAATAATAACAAACTTGCTATCTTCATTGTCCTTTCTTTTATGTTGCAATCACTTTTAATTATCAAATATCTACTGAAAATCTTTCTAAATACAAATTCAACTAACTGATAACCACTAAGCATTCTACATTTATTCTAATCATCAACATCCTTTTAACAGTCAAGTTACAAAGTTCTGTTAAATATTTTTTCTGTATAATAATCAAATCATTAATCTCTATCTAAAATCCTTCTATGTAAAATTAACTACTATCCGTGTTGTGAATCGTGTATAATTAATATACATAATTTCTAAGTATAGATTAAATATATACTTCATCAGAGTAAGAAAAGTTAGCTTTTGAGAATTTTTTGTATTGTAATTTTACATCTAAGGTATTAAAAATGATAAGGTTAATGATTTCAAACTATAAAATACTTACCCAACCAAATTACTTTCAGGATCATTTTCATCCAGACTCCCATTTTTTACTGTAAACCATATAATACAAAATTACCAATGCAAATTACATGTGCATACTACCAAAGTTCAGTAAAGGATCTCAAAGAAATGGTAAGACATACCTATGATTATTGCCTTAGAGAACTTAAACAATTAATATACTAGTGTAACACTGAAACTGTACCAATACAGAAAGCTGATGGTTGGTTTCTATGTAATAACAAGGTAAAAAAAACAACAAAAAACAGCTCGTTAAAATTAATTATATTTAAATTGAAACATGATGAGTGTTATGAATATGAACTTCATAAATTCACAATATTACCATAAGTTTTGAGTTGCACTTTTTTTAAATACACACTAATTCTCTGAACTCATTTGTTATTACAGTGTTTTTATCTGGTTGAAAACAAAAACTAAATACACAGAAGAAAGTTTTTTTTTAGAAACCCCCCCTCCCCTTCCATGGTCATTATGACATCTCTGCTACATTTTTTTTCAGTTGCAAAAAACTTTAACTAGCTTATTATAATTCATTTAGGCTTAAATCAGTAAAGTGCAGTTTAAACTCAACTAAAATAAAATTTAAAAAATAAAGGGAAGTGTTAACCTATCAATTGATTCATATATTGATAGAAAAAAATTCAAAGAAAATAATAAGATTCAAACAATAAAAATTAAAACAAAATATAGCCTTAAAAAAACAACATGGAAGTGACCAGCTAATAATCAAATGAACTCAGTCAACTAATTATATTTTTTAAATCTGTTTATGCACTTACGTATTTCTTCTTGAGTGTTGTTACTGGTTGTTAAAGTTGCTACATCAACATGGAATTCCCTAGATTTTAATCAAACCTATGAATGTATGCTCGAGATTTGATAAAAAATATCTCATTTTAATGTACATCTCTACATATACATAAAGTTACAAATTTTTTTTTAAGCATAGTTTTACTATGGTACATAATGTCTTATGCTGATGTGATGTATAGACTGTTTAACCAGCAAAAGGAAATACACACTATAATAATTTATCTTACACATGAATAATATACACAGCAATCCAACTGAGGCTTTGTATGTTTAATGCCCGCCTGACCTGATGAGTTCTAACAGTGAGTGAAAGGTCTCGCTGGCATAGACATGAAGCACACAAGTAAAGATTGGCACATGTGCTCCTCAGGTTTTTAATTATCTGACCCTAGTCTCTTTTTTACTACCACAGTATCAGTTGAAGGCAAGGATCTTTGGCCAGCATAATATATACAAGGTTTAAACTATGTATTATGCACTTAAAAGTTTAATATTTGTGATTAATTTAGTGCAAGTTTTATAATATTAACTACCTGCACGACCCAGGTATTTCTCACAGTGCCACCAGTTTACAACACACAATGTGTGCAGTTGAGAAGTTACAATATTATTCTTACTGGAAACCAACATAGGATCAGTAGACATTTTCAAACAAACATTATCAGTTTTATTTTATGCACAATTTTCTCTCACCCTCTACAATTTAAATTATCATTTGAAGAGCCCTATCAAGTGATGAAAATGTTTTGATTATTACACGACTAATATTTATAGATCAACAATCAATTTTGTCATCATATTATTGCATACAAAATGTTTATATCTAGTTAATACATATTTAGTTTTGTACAAAAAATAAAGAATATGGTGAAAGAAAATAGTTATTTATTTTTTTCTTCTTTCTGTTTTAGTTTGATTAGCAAATTAAATGTGAAAACACACATATAAATTTAAGTATAAAATCAGAAACATTTTTATTTGGCACACTTTTGAGTATTTAGGAATAATATAATAAAATACTATTAAATATATTAAAAATAATAAAACTTCCAACAAATGAAAAAAAAAAAGACATTTTCATAAATTCAAATCTTACTTGATTTGGTAAGTGTCAGCAAAACTAACTCTTCTAGAAGATCGACGAGAATGCCTTCTATCAGATGTTTTTTCATCCTGTGAGATAATGAAAATGATTAAACAAAGCAATGAAAATAAAAGTTACTTCATATTCACTAGTCTATTTACTGGTTCAATGAATATGCTCATTAGTGTTGTAATATATTTGTTAAATATAAACTGTAATCAACACACAGTAGACAAGTGGTCCTCAGCTTTGGGAAAGCCTTTGAGAACAGTAATTCTGACACATTACTTAAAACATATAGTCTAGTCTAGTGTTTTAAACCAGACATGTACTGAGTTCATCCCATCACGTGCAGATACTGCTATCCTAATAAGTAGTAGAAAGCAAAGTGTTCCCATTATGACTTAGCACTATTGGTTGGTACATGTTTTTAAATATATATTAACTAGCAATTCAGAAACTAAGAAAAACTAAATCCCTTGGGCCAAAAAATAATATGATCTTATCAAAAGGGTCTTCAGAGCTCAGAAAGTTAAGATTCTATGCACTAGATTAACAGACTAGTAATAACAATGTACTTAGCACTATAAAGTATTATTCATATACTAAGTAAGCATGAGGGGATGAAGGGTAAGCCACATAGCATACATATGTACATAAAGACATCAGACTTTTACTAAATTGGTTCTAAAACAAAATGAAGTCTCTGGTATTAAGTCAAACCATTAATCCTTCACTAATTACCATTAGTTTTAATTTTAGAATTATGTTTTAATTCTTTGAAAATGCAGTTCCTTGTAATGTATTTTATCCTACTATAGAAAAACTGTTGTTAGGACAGTGGAAGTCACATGACGCTGGTAACATGTGATGAGTTTTTAGAAGGATCGGGAAACATCACGAATAATCCAGTATTTGCTAGGCAGCCTCTATTTTAGTATATAAGCCGGCAAATAAAGCGATGGCAATAACTGAATTGCAGACGGGCAGAGATAGAGATGGACAATTGAGTCAAGCGTGGTAGTAAGTGAAATGCGTAAATCGTTTGTTGTGAATTCTAGCGTGTGCTTAAGTTAAAATGACGGAGGAAATGTGTACTGCAAAGTTGAATTGAGAAAGAATAAACTAGTTTTATTTAAGAAAGAACTTGTATCGCTGAAGTTCTTCACAAAATTAACAAACAAACACAGAGACGTAACACTGTTTTACATAACTGTTTCTGTTGTTGAATATGTTCTCTGTAAAATATAAAGACCCTTTTTTTATCCACAGGAAAACCAATTTCATGTCATAAATTGTGAAAATGACAAAATCAAACAAAAGAGAGCATGAAGAATAAAGTGGATAAGGAGATAGAACTTGCTTTACCTCATCTCTGATAAATTTTATTGATAATAAATCATTGTTCACTTTACCAACAGTTTTTTTAGCTGACATTTTCAAGTTTTGTTGTGCAATTACTAACTATCTGTGTACTTCTACTAGAATCATGGCTGCTCAATACAAGGTATATATAAATAATGTATGACTGTTTGAATAGGCCCACCAAATTCAGCCAAAATATATGTGCAACATAGGGCAGCAACTCTGTAGAAAATGATTAAACATGTTCAGAGTTGTTACTAAGCAGCAGCAGCAATTTTAAAAGTGATGGCAACTTCTATGTAAACTCTGTTAACTACAACTACGGCTTCTGCTGAAAATTCACAGTAACAAACAGGTAAGGCTAACAACGTCTTTACAATAATTACCAGATAGATATAGAAATGGGACACACTGATAAATTTCAGTCAAATGTTTTATCAAATACTTTACTTACCCCCAAAATAGTGAAAAGAAGTAAAGTGAAAGTACTCACTCTAAAAAATGTTCTACAAAATGTTGGAGATGTGGGGAAAATTTTCCCTGGTTACTGCATTCTTTTATAAAATTGTTAAAACATTTTCTGTGGATGGATTTGACATCAAGAGATCATTTCTCTTCAAGTGAACAAAGTCAACATAATCTGGAATCACAAATGGAAATTATTGTAGCCAATCTAATTACTAATGAACTCAATTCCACTAATGAAACTCCTGGTGACATTACTCAGAGTACCATTTAAACTGAGTCTTCAACTGATTATTCCAGAAAGTGAACAACACCAATGCAAGCCAAGCTTCATGCTTCAATCAAGCATCAGGCACCACTGTCCACAAACTCAAAGACCTAAAGGTTGTAGGCCTGAAAAGTTACACTATAAAGTAGTTGCTTAAAGAAGCCCAGAAGAAGTTGAAGAAAGATATAAATGGATCTTAACAAGAACACGAAGGAAGCTGAAAGGCAAAGAAAAAAAAGGAGCTCTGATAATTATGAACTATTGAAATATTTCACAGCAAATGATTATGGCAAAACTTCCAAACTGAGCAGGTTCACATGCCAAGAAAAGTGGCAATGCAGTTCTATAGAATGAATTTGAATGACTTCCACAGCACTATAGTATCACTTGGAGCCAATTACAGGTGTAGAACTTAAGTCCTAGATGTCTGCAAAATGAGGAAATTAAATTACAAATTCAGTTGCTCACCACTCTATTTTAGTTTTATTCTGAAGAGAGTAAATATGATGGAAAGAAAATATCACAGGAAAAAAGTACTGGTGAAAATGCCTATAAAGCCTATAAAAAATATGAAATTTCGAACAAGCTAAAGACTTGACTTACACGTATGAAGGTTTGTTTCAAAACAAAGAGATGGTGCCATTATATTTAAAAATGGCTGAGAAAGGCACTAGGGGGACATTCTGAGCTTTCGATTGGTCATTCATATGTCATGTATAGAAGTAAGTGTATATAAGGGAACATTTGCAAAAATGGAAATGAGCCGGGCCACCGTGTTTGATTCAGTACATGAGCGATATCTCAGCAAGTAGAAAAGATAGGAGGTTCTTATTTTATATTTTAGCTTGTCAATATCGGTAACTTGAGTTCCTAATTCATACAAAACTATAGACTTTGTATTTTGACATCATAAACATCTAATGTGAACCAGTGCTGCATTCAACATATAATGTGACACACAAAGTGTTTTTTTGATATTTACTTTTAAATTAAGAAATTAAATAATGTATAATCTTTAATTATAA